TATATATATATATATACGAAAATATGGGTGATAAAGAATTCTCAATTTTAATAACTTCTGATTTAAAAAAGAATCAGGTAATTTATCTTTTGGTCAAAATTTGAAAAAAATTTAAAGTAAAAATTTAAAAAAGTAAAATTTATCTTTTGGTCAAAATTTAAAACAGAACCCTTTAAAATAAGTGTTGTTATATTTTTAACAAGGCTCATATATAAGAGAAGCTTTTGATATTTAAATATATATATCTTTGTGCAAATTAACTGAAACAATCAGTCTATTTTCGGGGTGTATGATAAAATATGAAAACTATTGCGTAGCTGTGATTGCATCAGATTTTTATCACACCCAGACACTATTGTCGTGACTATCGATCAGTTGTCTCATGCCCATTGTCTGACATGGACGTTACTCTGAGGAAGCATATGAAAATTGTAACACTTTCACGAAGAAGCTCCTGTTACCAGTGAGCAAATCAAAGTTCTAGAGAATGGCTTGGAAACTCTCCTGATTTAAATGCAATCGAGTATCTGTTGTCAGTCTGCAAGAAACGATTTTATAGAATGGACATACAGGGTACTAACATGAGCAATGGGTCATGTTTCATTGGAAAAAGATGAAAAATAAATAATAACAATTATTCATTTTGTTAATTTCCACAAGGGTGTATGTCTTTCTTTAAATATCGGTAAAATCTTTAACATTGTCTGTGTATGTTTGTTTCTGCTAGATATTATTTAAAATAATATCATTTTCAGTGAATCGTCTTAGCATGCTTCCATCGAATGTGTGCGCATAGTTTTGAACCATTAATGCGGTAATCGTTTAAATAAATCCTGTCAAATGAAGTGTCACGCGTTATAGACTGCACTCTAACTGCACGTCACCTTAGCTGCAAACGAACGCGATAAAAAATTCGCTAATGTCGTTTGCTCGCTTTCTTTTCAACAGCGAGCAACCTGTATCCAAAATGGCGGCGTAGTTTCCCGCTTCGGATTCACTTTTCACCTTCCACCATTTTCGGCTGCGGGCAAACGGATTCTTTGAAAAAGAGATGCCGTCTCCTATTCACGACAATATTCTTTGATGTCGGATCTTTTTATGTACGCCTGCTCACAATTATACATATTATTATCGCTATACCTCTCGGAATATATAATTACGAAAGAAAATGATTTATCTATCTATCTATCTATCTATCTATCTTTTCACAGTTACTTTTAAATATTGGTATGTCTAAAATGACTATACATGCGCGTCATTTTACGCATGCCTATTGACAGGATCGACTATTTATCAGTGTTTAATTCAGCATCGGCTTGAATATTAATTATTTCTCTCTTTCTCTTTACTTCTCAAATCCTCCAACTACATATGTTTAAAAGTCACCCTATCAATGTACATATATGTATAGCTGGTCACTCGCATTTGAGCCCATCCTTATTGCAGAAACTTGCCCAGGCACATTTCTGTCTATTCAACACCTACAGAGCCATCCCATGGTTTATACTGCAACTATGCTGAGTTGACCTTTATTACAGTTTCTGATAAACATCATGTTATCTAGCGTGATTTGAACAGGGCCAGGACGCTCAACCCGTCTGCCACGATGATTTCTGTCTATCCAATTTCACTCGCAAGGCTTGGGTCAACTCATGGTATAGTATTCCGTCACTTTCCAAAGATGTCGCACGCTGTATGATGAAATTTCTTTGGACTTGAAAATATTGCGTCATCCGTGATTGTGACATATTTTTGTCACGCCGACACTATTTTTTTGACTGTCGATTAGTTGTCCTACGGCCATTTTCTGCCATGGACGTTACTCCAAGGAAGCGTACGAAAATTGTAACGCTGCACGAACACACTGGCAAGCCTTACCAGGGAACAAATCAAATTACTATAGACTGGTCTGGAAACTCTCCTGATTTAAACCCAATCAAAAGTCTCTGGTCAATCTGCAAGGAACGACTTCTTGGAATGGTCATGCGAAGTACTAACATGTACACTGGGTTATGTTTCATTAGGGAAATACGAAAAAAGGTAAATAATGACGGGGTTATTCGTTTTGTTTCAATTAATTTGCACAAAGGTGTATGTACCTGATCGTAAAAAATGGCGAAATTGATTTCTATGAAAATGGCATCAGGAAGCCTGTAAAGAGATGGGGGACTGTGTACTTGGCTGTTGTGGTTTCCGAGATGAAAGTCGGTCTCAAAATGAATGACAAACGCAGGAATGAAATATAGCAAATAAATGTATTGACGCCATAATATAATTGGTAATACTGTTAGTAGATCCAGAAATGCGATTAGTAGCAATCATATATATATATATATATATATATATATATATATATATATATATATATATCTATATAATTCAATATCGAAGTATGACTTCCTTCTAAGTCTACGTGCTCACAACTGTGACTCCTAAAAAGCAGTTACCTCACTCTCTCACTGTATCAGTGTATCTGTGTTACTCACTCTTATTCACCGGCAGTAGTACAAGTACACACTGGGCGAGTCCACTTGTACGAAAAAGGGGTGGACCCATAACATTGGCAAATAATTATTTTCTCTCAGTATGTAAAATTTTGTTCTTAATTTTCTATTTTGCAATGATTTGATATGTATCCATCTATGATATAGGTTTTTATTAAGTATCTATGTGACACAAGAACTTTATAAGTTAATGATTTATAGTGGCGTGAGGCCCAGGAATTAAAATGAATCGTTCATTTATCAACGCCAAGAAGATTAATCAAGGATGATAATGACGAGTAAACACACGTTTAATTTTAATAAAACAAGGGATTTATTCACGAATTTACACGCTTGGAACAGTGTCAGTAGCTCGTTTCAGGAAAATAAATCAGAATACTTAATGTCTGTATTTTCAATAAATTTTCATGCAGAGGAAATATTTAGAAAACAGATTAAATAATCTTACAGAAAATAATATCCAAAAATGTTTAAGACAAAGTTGAGTTCCTGTCACATCGAAGGGTTATATTCTTTTTCATACGTTCAGAAGAAGTGAGATACAATGATCCCTCGCTAATTCCCGGATTCCCGACTCCGCGGATTTTTAAAATATATATATATATGGAAAATATATCGCGAAGTTTCTGGAAAATCCTAGAAAAATCGCGATATATGAACACCTAAAATTTTTCATTAAACCCATTGAAATATTAATAATAAATATTATTTCCTGGTCTAGGAACAACAAAACAAGCGTAAAATAGCAATAGAAAGGGCAGCGCCGTCTGAAGAGACGTAAAATACAATTATCGGCTGCACAGTAGAAGTCATCAACAGCTTCATCATCATCATTTCTACTGCGCAGCAGATTCATCACCATCATCATTCAAATTCGACTTCAACTTCTATCGTGTTGAATACAGTAACAATCTTTATTTTTTTAAATCTAAAGTGTTATTGCTTAACTTATTATTAGAGTACTGTAATGGGTGGGTTGTTAACAGTACAGGGAGGGTTTTGAAGGTTCAAATACACGTTAAATAAATACTGTAAATATGGCGTCCCTACTTCGCGGAAATTTAGTTATCGTGGCCGGTAACGGAACCAATCTACCGTGATAAACGAGGGATCACTGTAGTTTGAAATATTGAGCCTTCTTGGATTTTTTTATTGAAAATTTTTTGAATCGCCGCGTCGGTAGTATCATGGTCGATAAATCTTACATTACTGTGTAATTCAACGCTGATTGGCAAGAACTGAAACGATACCTTTCACATGACTTCAGATATTCTTTTGCTTAATTTAAATTTTTTCCTCAACTTCTATTAAAGATAATTTCGCGGAGGCTCGCTATTTTATTTCCTTCTCCTTCTTGGTTCAGCGGTTAATTTCCATGAAGGAAAGGTTTTCATTGGTACAAAACCAATTTCACATAGGCTCACGAATTTTTTTCCTTTCTTCTCAGCTCACCGGTTAATTTCTGTGGAAGGCAAAATCTCATATAGGCTCACGAATTCCATACCTTCTTCGTCACAAGGAAGTGGGTGAAGGGAGTGGGTGAAGGGAGTAGGTGAAGGGAGTGCGTGGTTGAGGGGAGTGTTTGAAGGAAGTGTTTGAAGGGAGTAGGTGAAAGGAATGGGTTAAGGGAGTAGTTGAGAGGACTGGGTGAAGGGAGTAGGTGAAGGGATGGACAAAAGACTGGTTGAAGGGAGTGGGTGAAGCGAGTGGTTGAAGGGAGTGATTAAATGGAGTGGGTGAAGGTAGTGGGTGAAAGGAATGGGTGAAGCGAGTGGGTGAAGGGAGTAGGTGAAGGGAATAAGTGAAGGGAGAGGGTGAAGGGAGTGGGTGAAAGGAATGGTGAAGATAGGGGGGAAAGGAATGGTAAAGGGTGGGTGAAGAGAGTAGGTGAAGGAATAAGTGAAAGGAACAGGGTGAAGGGGAGGGGTGAAGGAGAGGGAATGGAGGGTGAAGGTGAAAAAGAATGGGTGAAGGGACAGGAGGGTGAAGGGAATAAGTGAAGGGTGAAGGAGAGGTGGGAGAATGGAATGGGTGGAGAAGGTAGTGGGTGAAAAATGGAATGGGTGAAGGGAGAGGAATGAGGGTGAAGGGAGTGGGTGAAAGAATGGAATTGAAGGAGTGGGTGAAGGGAGTAGGTGGGGAATGAAGAGAGAGAGGGAAAGGATTGGGTGGAGGGAGAGGAATGGAGGGGGGTGAAAGAAGGTAGTGGGGGTGAAAGGAATGGGTGAAGGAATAAGTGAAGGGAGGGTGTAGGGGGTGGATGAAGGGAGAGGGAATGGAGGAAGGTAGGGGTGAAAGGGGGTGAAGAGGGTGAAGGGAGTAGGGAAGGGGAGAGGGTGAAGGTAGTGGGTGAAGGAGAGGGAATGGAGTGGTGAAGGTGGGTGAAAGGAATGGGGTGAAGCAGAGCAAAGGAATGGGTGAAGCGAGTGGGTGAAGGGAGAGAGGGAATGGAGTGGGTGAAGGTAGTGGTTGAAGGGAGTCAATGAAGGGACTTGGTTAAGGAACCGGGTGAAAGGAGTAGATAAAAATGTGTGAAAGGAATGGATGAAGGGAGTGGGTGAAGCGAGTGGATGAAGGGAGTAGGTGTGGGGAGTGGCTGAAGGGAGTAGGTGAAAAGAGTAGGTGAAAGGAATGGGTTAAAGAAATGGGTGAAGAGAGTAGGTGAGGGGAGTGAGTAAAGGGAGTGGATGAAGCGAGTGGTTGAGGGCAGTGGGTGAGGAGAGTGGTGAAAGAAGTAGGTGTGGGGAGTGGGTGAAGCGAGTGGTTGAAGGGAGTGGGTGAAGGGAGTGGGTGAAAGGAGTAGGTGAAAAAATGGGTGAAAGGAATGAGTGAATGGAATAGGTGAGGTGACTGGGAGAAGGGGGTAAGTGAAGGGTTGAATGAAGGTGTGGTTGAAGGGAGTGGGTGAAGTGAGTGGGTGAAGGGAATGGATGTGAGAACTGGGTTAAGGGAGAGGGTGAAGGGAAGAGGAGAAAGGAATGAGTGAAAGGAATAGGTGAGGGGACTGGGTGAAGGGATTAGGTGAAAAGGGTGAATGAAGGAGTGGTTGAAGGGAGCGGGTGAAGGGAATGGATCAAGGGAGTAGGTGAACGTAGTGGGTCAAGTAAGTGGTGAGAGGACAGGCTTAAGTGAGTGGGTGAAGGGAGTAGGTGAAAAAATGGGGAAAGAGGAATTGGTGAAGTGAATAGGTGAAGTGACTGGATGAAGGATGTAGGTGAAGGGGGTGAATGAAGGAGTGGGTGAAGGTAGTGGGTCAAAGGAGTGGGTGAGGTGACCGCGTTAAGAGAGTGGGTAAATGGAGTATTGAATGGAATGGGAGAAAGGAATGGGTGAAGGGAATAGGTGAGGGGACTGGGTGAAGGGAGTAGGTGAAATGGGTGAATGAAGGAGTAGTTGAAGCGAGTGGGTGAAGGGAGTGGGTGAAGGGGATGGGTGAGGGGAGTGGGTTAAGGGAGTGGGTGAAGGGAGTAGCTGAAAAGAATCGGAGAAAGGAATGGGTGAAGGGAATAGGTGAGGGACTGGGTGAAGGGAGTAGGTCAAGGGCATGAATGAAGGAGTGGTTCGAGAGTGTGGGTGAAGGGAGTGGATCAAAGGAGTGAGTAAAGGTAGTGGGTCAAGAGAGTGGGTGATGAGACTGGGTTAAGGGTGTGGAGAAATGAGTAGGTGAAAGGAATGGGTGAATGGAATGGATGAAGGGAGTGGGTGAAGCGAGTGGTTGAAGGGAGTAGCTCAAGGGAGTGGGTCAAAGGAGTTATTATTTCGCACTTACTCAAGAGTAAGTACAATATATCATTCCCAATATGTTAGATTTTAATATTAATCCCAAGCATACTAACAACATGGCGGCCATTTAGCACTAAGAAAACAATGAATATAATCGTAAGTCTGGCTGGATATGCATTTTTAGCGAAACCAATAATAGCAAAGTGATAATTTCGGAAGAAGAAATAGGAAATTAGCAGAAGAATAATCCGTATTTGCAATAAGTTTTAAGAGTAGTATTTGAGAAGTCTATCGATGTTTTTTAGACAGATAAGCCATTTTCTCTGCTCGTTACTGTACATTGTTTTTGTGAGCGGTGAGCAT